AGCTGACTCTAGATCTCAGAGCTTGTGGCTGCAAGTCCATAGCTCACACATAACAGCTTAAGTTCTTTCCGTATGACTGCATGCCTCTTGTTCCTGTTACATACACTGAGTCATGCTGTCATTACATATGTGTCATGGCACGCACATATTTGCATTTTACCAAATTTCTGAAGTTACAGGAAAGATATTAACAAAATTTTCCTTACCCTCTTAAGCTGGTGCTTAGCAGAGACTCTCTTTGACCCTGGATTTAAAGCTTTTTTAGGAATAAGAACTAACTGGGATACCCCCCACCCCGTATCTTCATCCACAGAAGCACTGTGGTGAGGGAGAGTCTCGCGGGCTGAAGATCCAGTGGCCCTGGGCGTGAATTCTTTTGCTTTCTGCTCTTACTGCATTCAGTGCATTGATCCTGGATAAGTCATTTAATCTCTCTAGAGTTGCAGTTTTTTAATCAGTAAGAGTGGGATAATCATCTTGGTAGAGTCATTAAGAGGGTTAAACAAATGAATACATGTAAAGCATCTAATACAATGCCCAGAATTCCTGTTTTTCTTTCCCTTTCCTCTATTCATTCAATTAATGCAAAGTTCTGTTTTTGTCATTATAAACAGGAAAGGCATCCATAACAGGGTGGGGAAACTATCCTTTTAAACATTGTATAGTATTTCTACATTATTCAAAATAATCTGATCATCCTGCCAAAACTTCTAATGCTAACGTAGAAAATTTCAAAACCTTTGACTTTCCAGTAGTAGTATTTTTGATTATGTTAGAGTCAATATATACGAGGCAGGATCATGGCAAAATTCTACTTTTAGTTGAAACACACAGCTTCTTTTCAGCAGTGGATATTTGGGCCACTGGGATTTTTTAATCCAGTGAGAAAAGTTAATCTGCTTCTCATTAGGAAGAATCCATAAACTATGAAATCCATAATCTTCCATCATAAAGTGAGAGCAATCATTATCATTTTCAATTTATGCTTCTGAAGAGCTCTGTTTACTTTGTCCACATTTCATCTTAATGTGACTCTAAAACACTTGGGGACCACGCTGTCCAGCGTGATTGGAGACATGCTTGGTTGTTTAGTGTCATGCAGCAGAGTTACTTAATGTGTCCTGCTTTCATGGGGATGTCAATCTTTCAACCACTTTGAGATCAGAAGAGAAAGAGGCTGCACAGTGAACATATGCATAAACAACAGCATAAATCCCACATTAACCCAAGAAAGTCTGGCATGGTTGGCAGGGGCTGCTTACAGAAAATACAGCAGTGAAGCAGGTTTACTGGGTGGGGGAGCAGAGAACCCTAATTAGTGTAGCTCTAGGAATGCTACAATGCCATTTAATATCTTTTGCCTTACTATTCTAAGCCATCTAAAGGGAGAATTGCCACAAGCACCTAAGGTCATTATATTAAAAAACAAAAAAGGTTAGTGCCCAGGTAATCTAAGGGATGAATCTGCAGTTTTTCTTATGACTGCTGATAAGAAGAGAGCCATAAGGAAGGGAGTTCACACATTTCAGACAGACACTGAAAGGGCGAATTGTAATCAGTTCTTGCTAAATATTACTGAAGCAGTTGCTGGTGGAAAGAGAATAAAGTCCAAAGACAATGCCATTTCTTAAATTTAAAAAAAAAATCACCAGATGCTACTGAAAAGAGATAGCCAAACTAGCACCTGCACAGTTCTGAATCATTTAGTGCTGACATTCAGTTTCTGAGAGAAAACCACCATGCTCATAAGGTGCTTCCGCCATCCCCACATCCCCAAACTCGTCCTTCTCTTAAATGCTTTTATTCATGCCAGTGAAGAGTGCAGATGACACTGACATTCAGGAAGCTACATTTCAAAAAAGAGCCTGATAAAAAAATTTCAATATTGCACAAAGTATTGTAAGAGGACTTTTAATCTAATAATAAGTGCTAACTTAATCACTGCACAGATATATTAACATTTGGAGCCATAAATAGCCCAAGAGCCAAGAGAAGACTCCTGGTGCCCTGTCATTCACACAGTGGAGGAGGGCTCAGGAGTCTGCCCATGAAGCTCCTCCTCCAGGTCCTCAACTACCCCAACCTCCCACCCTGCACCAAATACTGGAGGAGGCTTCATGGAACATAGGGCTCCTAGGAGAGGAATCTAGGAAACAATGAATGAATTCTAGTCCATTCGCTCATTTTATTGAAGTTAACTGAGGCTCAAAGATGGAAGTAGCTGTTCAAGGTCATATTTCCCAGGTCTCCTATCATCATCATCAATGTCGCCAAAAGCATTTATGAACTTCTTTCTATTTGTAGAGCACTGTGATAAGCACAAGTATATATATGGACTTTCTGTAAAGGTAAGCCAAACTCTAGCAATGACACAACCAATGTCAATATTTCCTTCCCAAGGGAATGATTGGTTCCCAAATAATCATTGGAATGTATTTCCTCTCAAATACTGGAGGATACTATGTTAAATTTTAATTGGCTGTGCACACACCAGATGTTTTGATAAAGAGTGAAAAAATAGTAATTTTATTTGTATATTGGTGTCAGTATTTGCCTTGTTCAGGGAAAACCTAGATGATAACATTAGAAAATTTCTCTCTACAGATACTGCTTTTTTTCTTTTTTGCACTGAAGTCAAGAGCTTTTCATTTCATTGTTTCCCAACATTTTATTATTAAAAATTTAAACATAGCAAAGTTCAAAGGATTTCATAATGACACCAGTATTCTTTACCACCTAGATTCTACCATTAATATTTTACTTTACTTGCTTTATGACATTATCTGTCCATCTACCCATCTTACTATCCTTCCACCAATGTATCATATGTCCTTGATACATTTCAAAGTACATGCAGGTAGCAGATGATACTATATATTGAAGGAGTAAAATCAAACAGTCTTCTTACTCCTGTAAGAATAGCTGGAAAAAATTAATAGATTTTTTGAAAACAAAGAACAAGCTCATCTTGAATTATGCACACAGATACTCACCATAGTTTAATCTTCAGGCTCTATAAAATGTATGGTAAGCTATTTCAATGTCTCGTCTACCTATATCAACCCTGTAGACATTTTTAGTACTCATCCAAATGCTTGGCTTTGGGAAGACACATGCTGTTGGTTATAAAGAAATAAGCTCTCTGTTACAGATCATCAGGAAAACTTACCTGGAATGCTAGCGATACATATTTTTTGTTCTTTTGCCCTATACTCCAGGGTCCCCCTTCCCCAGTTATTCCTTGAATACAGAAATACAGTACTTTTTATGCCTCACTCACCTCATTTATACAGTGAGTTTTATAATACATATCGCACAACCTTGTCATGAGGATCAAATGTGAGAAATAGGGGAACACTTTATAAAGAGTGGAGCACTATGCACATCTAAGACAGCATTAGCGTTAGTCATCGCAATGCGGCTGTGAGGAAACACAGCCCAGGTAATGCTCCACACTGCTACTTGGCTCTTTCAAATCAGCCAGAAAGGATTTCAAAGGTTAAAGGGACAGAGTATTGGCAGATGCCTTCATTCTGCCCATCAGTACGTCATCTTGTCAAGGATTGAGAAGAACCTTGGTGTATATCACATAGACTTGTTTTCATTAGTGAAGTGTTTGTTTTGGACATCATCCCAGCTTTAAAACAATATTTCCATTAGCTGAGCACAGTACCTATAATTATCCATCTTATCTGACTAGTGCCAAACTATTCTACTTACTGCATCCCATTTACCTTGGTGATGCTGAAAGAAGAGTGAGACATTCATTCGATGTATAAGAAGGTACAGAGAATGTTTATTTCTTTGGATAAACATTACAATAAACTCTGAATAAAAATTCCTGCAACAAGATATCATCAGGTACCATGAATGATGAGTCTGAAGGTGACAGAAACTCCCATATAGGGGAAAAATTCTGTTACATGAATATCTAATGCTTACAAGGTATGAGGTCGTGTATTTTCCATTTTTTGTATCTGGTTGGACACAAATCAAGAAAGTGAGGAGCACATTCAAAGCCAACTAGGAAGCAAGAAAATATAAAATAAGCAGGGAGGTGAGTTCATCATCAATTACTGTTATTGAGAACTTGTCAGATCTCTGGAGATTTTATACTTAAAAGGAATTGAAGAGAAAGATAGACTTGATATCACCCTTGTCTTCAAAAAGCAACCTTTCTACTAAAGGTTGGATAGGGAGAACCATCAGGAGACAGAAAAATTAGAAATTGTAAATAGATAGAATAGGATATATAAAAAGAGAGAAATAAATGTGGTTTGTGATTTAAGTTATGCTCAACATTGAAAATATTTAGAATGTGGACAACATCATAGCAATGAGAAGACCTCTAAGAGGAAACATGATTACTCCCAAATCCAAAACATGCTTTTCACGTAGGAAAATGAGGATTAGAAGAAAGGCTGGCTGAGCCCATCTAAGAGAGGATTCCTCAGCCCATGAACTGCATCTGTCTGGTGCTGGTGGGAGGGACATATTTTAAACTTACTGAGATAGTTGCATCAGGCGACCGTCTTCTGATGCCATTTAACATTCCAAACATACAAGTTTAAGTCCTCTAGTTTGGTTCCATATTCACAAAGCAAACTTGTAATCACATTTATAATCTGGCCTCCTATATGACACACTTACTAGGAGAAAGGCAGCTGCCCAGTGGGTCAAGAACGTGGTTGCCCTGCTAGTGAGATCTCTCACTGTAATTGCAACAATAAATTGTTGTGTGTATGCGAATATATATACATGTGTGTATTATACGCAAATACACACACATTCAACATGTGTTTATTAGAGAAATACTAGCAAATCTGAATTTATAGCAATGCAGATATCTACATATTTGGGTAAAAGTTTGTATTCTAATAAAATTTTCCCATGCTCTAAATGAGAATCTTATAAAAGTCCCTCCTGTGCTATTTGATGGTATTTTTTCTTTTCAGTCTGAAAGTTTTACTTAACTGCTGACAGCTCCTCATTCATCATACCTGACTGTCCAGGGGGAGGGGCACCTGATGATCCTCGTGGAAGACAAAGAAACACAGTCAGAACAGCAGCTCTGTTCCCAGCACACGGTTCGATGGCTATGGGTTTGGGCGCCCCCTGAAAAACAAAACTCATTTTAAGTTTGCATAATTCATATGACATTGCTGTTTTACTACTCACCTTATCTATCCTCAGTCAGCAAGACTACATTCCTCGTTATTGGAAACACCATGTGTCATTTTAACACTAACTCCTGGCACAATATAGATGTACAACCAGCCTACATTTAAATAAATGAATGAATTTCACTATATTTGATGAGCAGCTTGTGAGCCACAAAGTTATACAACTTTTGTTGCTTTTTCCCAATTGTTTCTTGTCACCAATGGTGTACTACATAACATACTTTATCTAAGTGATTGCAATTCAAAATATTCTGTTGGCATATCTTTATTTTTTAATTTTTTAAATTTATTTTTTGTCATCTATATTTAAAGTGTAAAACATGATGTTTTGATATACATATATAGTAAAATGATTACTACAGTCAAGCAAATTAATATATCCAACACCCGATATAGTTATCTTTTTTTTGTTGTGGTAAAAGCACTAAAAATCTACTCTTTTCGCAAACTTTCAGTATATAATACAATATTATTAACTATAGTCCTCGTGCTATACACTAGATCTCTAGCCTCAATCATCTTACATAATTGCAAGTTTGTACCCTTTGACCTATATCTCCCCATTTCCTCCCCCTCCCCGCCTGTGGTGACCACCAGTCTACTATTTCTATGTATTCAATTTTTTTTTAGAATCCATGTGTATAAGTGAGATCATGTTGGAGTATCTTAAATATCACTATAGTGAAATACATGTTTAATAATCATCCACCAATGCACTTGTATAAATAGTATCACTTTAGAAATAAAATACAGTAAATTAATATGTAACAACAATAGTAATAGTAATTGCTAGTATTTTAGGTATTTGAAGTGCTTTACAAACACACATGTGTGCACACTCACAACCCATGCACACACACATATGACCGCACAAACACACACATAGAATTTGAGCTTAAAGACAATGCGACCTTTAAACAATGAGGCTATCATTTTAGCCTAGGAATGTTGCTTTTGGCTATATCATTGAAAGAACTACAGATGACACATGGTTGATATATCAAAGCAACATCTCTGTATAAAGGTAAAATGAAATAGAAGTAAAAGTACTATGGCTTTAATTATTAGAACAAATGGTTTGTTCAGTTTTCTTTTCACTGATGATATTTAAACTTTTCAGAAGAAATATAGACATATGTAGTCATTCACTTAGAATATTCCAGAATATTGCCATTTCCAGAAAGTTTAACGAGGCATTAAAGATAAAATATGTCCCCTTTCATGTAAAACTTCGACTGAAATTTCTGGTGACAACGGTTTTATGTGGTTATAAAGGATTTCTCCTTTATAGCGACATAAATCTCATGTTTTAAAATTATCCTTATATAGATACATTTTGGGAGCATTCAATATAAAGGTGAAAGTGGCCATAGTGGTAGAAGCAAAGGGCATAAAAATGTTCTAAGAAAATGCTGTAAGCCATGTTGCAATACTTGTATCAAGTTACATGATCTATGGTTTTACACTTTAAAGCTTACATTTAATTTAACAGAATTATTTTTGAAAATGTTAAGTCAAAATCAGCATAAGTACATAGATATTCTCCAGTGATGTAAATATTTGGAGAATAGGCTTGTCATATTCCAAGGCTAAAAGAAAAATACTATGAATGTTTCAAAACATATTTCTAGGCTACTAAAATTTATTTTAATTTAATAAATGCAAACTATATTCAAAGGTCAATTGGTTAAAATATACTAAGAGAACATAAAATGAATTTAAGGTTTAAATGATAGTGATGTATTGGAAATACCAAAATCCCTTTCACTATACCTAAGAAATAATTGATCATTTCTCTCAGCCGGCAAGGGGTTTTTTTTTGTTGTTGTTCTTGTTTTATTTTTAAGCTCCCTATGCAATACCTGGCACTATTCAGAATATTCAAAGGCACTTTAAAAAAACTTGATTGCAAAAATTAGAAAAGCAGAATTTTATAATTACAAAAATAGTTGAGAAATAGTGATTCTTGGTTTAGGGGATTTAGAGAAACAAAAAACAATTCAGTAGTGTTCTGCTGCTTTTAACACTAGCAGAAAATCTTTTATACATTAAATGCTGGTGTTTAAACATCATAAGCATCAATAGAGATAAAAATTAGTAAAAAAATAACTACATTTCAGGTGGAATAAGACCTAATTATTTTAACTCTTTAAATTTCAGAGACTCAGCAACAGATAAGGACAGTGTAATAGAATAATATCTTGATCATGGAAAATGAATTATGCCTGCATAAAAGCTGCCTATGTAAAATCTTCCTGAAAATAATTCTCTCATTCTTAATTCTACTGCTATTGTAATGAAAATATTCTGAAATTTCTGCATATTGATAAGCTATATAAAAGGAGATTATAATTCTATTTTAAAATCAAATTGGATTACAACTTAGTCTATTTTTAGCTATAAGAATTTTCATAAAAGGATATTAGTAAAATATGAATTATTCATTATATTTAAAATATTAGTATCTAGCATAGTTTTTTGATACTTTTAGAAGGAATTCACATAATTTAAAAATTATTTCCAAAGAGTTTGTGGCAAATATCATTTTCAATACAGACTTTTAGATGCAAAAATACTCCACTTTATAGCACTTGAATTTTACAACAGATAATAGCAAAACCCCACAAATGATAATATTTCTGATACCTTGAAGTCTGTCAATTGTTTAGTGATAAATACATAACCATGAATCAAAATCATTTCACAATGACGTAACATGTTCACTGAGCTATGAAATTTATCATGCATTTTCCATGGCTGCCTTTGAAAGAGATAAGGCATGGGTTTGTTTGCCCACAGCACTCAGCAACTGTTATTTACTTCTAGGCATTTTCATATTTGTTGTACTGCAAGGAGCTGGTGTTAGACTGTGCCAGAAAACATCACTGACAGCCATTTAATTAGCAGTCCTTGTGCATTAAGCACACAGCACTTTTACAACTGACTCATTTTGTTCACTCTAACGTTTTCCAAACTATTGTATTCTTATTTTCAAGTTGTCTTTTTAGGGGCAGAAATTCTACGTTTTCATTTTTCAGCTATTAAAGACAAACAAGTTACCAGAGAAGCTTCTGGAATCATAAGGATTCTTAAAATTACAGTTCTTAAAACTCATAATAGTATGTTCTGAAAGGAGGCCACCATTTGAGTCCAGTATGTATCCTGGGAAACTGCTGCTACATGAATCACCGCGTGTTTGGAAAACATCAATGGGTAAAGCTGGCTACTTGCTCTTTTTCCGCTGGCCCTCCCCAAGGGAGAGTAAGTGAGTGAGTGAGTGATTTACTTCTAGGAATCACACTGAGGCCCAACACTGGAATCCCTATCCCCAGCATCTGAGGATATAACAGAATCATTGGATGTTCTTGAACTAGTCATTACAATATAAGTGGGGTTTGGCTTAACACTGAAGAACTCAAAACATAAAAAAAGTTATATCTTTTCTCAAAAACTTTTTTAGCAGTTCCAAAGTAAGGACTGCAAACTCAAATTCCTTCAAGGCCCATGTGGGTGATTTAATAACTAACATTTATTAAGTGCTTACATATGCCTGGTACTATGCTAAATGCTTACATGGTTTAATCCCACCCCACGAGGTAGAGACCATTTCCATTTTACAGATGATGAAACTCAAGCTTGAAGAGTTTAGGTAACATAAGTAAAGTTGCAGACCTCATAGGTGGCAAAAACAGGATTGGGACCAATATGGTCTATCTTCTGGGCTTGTATGCTTAACACTATGCTATGCTGCCTATAATAGTTAAGAAGACTGACTTACCTTTTAGAATAGATGAGCACTAACTAGAAAGTACATGACTTCTTTAACTCGCAAAATGTTTGCTGACCAAAAGGATATCTTCATGGGTCAAAATGGGCTTGAGGGATGCTACTTTGTGATCTCTGTGTACTGGAGAACAAAATGGCATTCCAGGTTCACCAGCCAGGCTCTTGTGTTTACCCAGTCACCTAATCTCATCTTTTATTCAGCACAAATTCCATGTTTTAATCAATGTAAGTGCTCATTGTTCAACAACTGCGCCTAGGGTTTCCAGAATCTGGCCTTCTTCACTCCTAATCTTCCTACTGTCTAGGAGATCCTTCCCACAGGTCTCTAATGTTCCTGATCTTATGTGTCCCTCAAAGCCAACTCAAATATCACTGTATCTAGGAAGCCTTCCCTGGTCTGAGGTATTTAGTCTCTCCCTCATTGGTTTTTTAATTTTACCTTTTCTGGCCCTCTTTATTTTTTGCCTTGAATGACAGCTGGGTAAATGTCCTGTCTCCCAGTTGGATCAAGCTCCTCGAGAGCAGGTCCAGTTTCTTAGTCATTGCTATAGACTCTGTATTTATTTCCTCTCTTAAAATGTCCAAGTATGGTGCCCGTGCCACCTTTTTGGGACTTATGTCTCCCAATCTTTTGTTACAGGTATTGATGTACAAGTTGTATGTCTGTGCTCCTCCAAGGCAAGTATCATGATAGATTCTTCTTTGTCTTGTGTACTACACATGGAAGTGATAAGTTTAAGAGTGAATGAATGAATAAATGAAATTGTCACAGAGGTCACATGGTGAGATAAATTGTAAGGCATGACTCAGTTTCCATTCAAATTATGGATATTAAAGGGATAATAAAACACCAAAAATAATAATAGTTAACATTCATTGAGTACTTATTAAGTGCCAAGTGCCGTGCTAAGCATTTTACATGCACTATTGTATATAATCTATACAGTAACCCTATTAGTAGGATACTGCTATTTTTCATTTTATACAGATGAAGAAATTAAAATCCAGAGAAGTTAAATGATATTCTCAGGGTTAACACAGCTAGTGAGAGAAAGATCCTAGATTGGAATTCAGATCTGATTCTAGAATCTAGGTTCTTAACCACAATATAATATTACTCAAAATATAGCTTAAGAAGTTAAGGAG